TTAGTCCGGGGTCACATTACGAGAAAAAAACACAAATCACCTTCAGCTGAACCTCGCTGGACCTGCTCCGCAGAAACACAGGGCCTCCTGTTCCTCCTCGCACACAGAAACCCAGATAAGGTGGCTGGGCTCTCTGACAGAACCATTTGCAAGAGGGCTTGAACTTAAAACTTAAATCTGGATACAAGGCTCGTGTATTTTTTATTTTAATATCTTAATGAATCATGCTCGTATGAGAATAACAGCTTGTGATTAAATTATGTGTGAAAAAAGTTTCCCTTGTGCTGAATTCTCTTAAAGTTCTTCTTGGTCTTCTTGTTTGAGCTTGAATGATCTCTGGAGTTTCCTGATCGTCTGTTGGCAGGTCTGTTCCCCTTACCCCACCTTCCCCCTCCCCCCCACTCCCCCAAGGCAGAGGGGTGAAGTCACATGACAGAATTACATTCCTGAACCTCCACCCACCACTCCTTAAAATGTCACAGTACAAGGACATGCATGGGTACGCCGTGACCCGAGGCGTGCAGTGGCCCTGCTGATCGTCTGCCGCCATTGGTGTTTACATTTCCCCATCGTCGTTTGGGCCACCTAACAGCCCTCGGACTCTCAGCACCGCCGAGAGCTGCCAAAGCAATGATTTGCTGTTCCTTGGGCAAATAAGAGCTGTCAGTCGCGTCCTGTGGATTTATGACATGCTTGGCGTAGACAGCAAGTGACTCATGGAAGAGAGCAGAAGAAAGACATGAAGAAGCTTTTGTTGCAGGCGAGCACCACAGAGACTGGGAGAGTGTGTCTGCGCTGTACAGCGAGCGAGGCTGACAGTGAAGGCAGCCCACAGGCCGCCCTCTTCTCTCTGTACAGCCGTGTTCGTAGAGGGAAGCTTGACTCCCACATCCGCAGTCACGCCGGAGGAACATGCCGGGAGCAACGAGAGCCACTGCCGTGTGCAGCTGTCAGATGCAGGGTGAAACTATTACATTTCTGCTTGTGTTTATATGCATATTTCCCTTTTTTACTTAAGGAAATAAAGTAAATATCATGTAGAAAGTATGTAGCTCCTTCTGAAATATACTCCCTGGGTACAGGGCTCGGGAGCTCACTGTCCCCACGCACTGTCCCCACGCACTGTCCCCACTCACTGTCACCACTCACTGTCCCCACTCACTGTCCAGCCTCTCACTCAGCAGCAGACAATGGACGTTAATCGCATTTCAAAACAAAGATGCCTGCTGGGGGGAGCAGCCAGCACGTTAGCGCTTGTCCAAGGCTGGAAGGCATTATGAGGTGTGCCTCTGTTACCTCGGTTCAGCTTCAGCTTGTTACAGTTTAGCAGTGGTGTAGTACAGTGTTGTGTGTTACAGTTTAGCAGTGGTGTAGTACAGTGTTGTGTGTTACAGTTTAGCAGTGGTGTAATACAGTGTTTTGTGCTACTGGGAAGCTGAAAAAGCATGCATTAGCAACAAAGAAAACATTCTGACACTTTTACGTTCTTAAAAAGACAGGCATAAATAATTGGTTTCCCTCACTGTCTGTTTCAGGAGTCACTGTCTTTGTGGGGACATTTCCTCAACACAGACAAACACATCAGTGAGACTGTTACCATATGTGGCCTGTCAGAGCCATTCCAGACTGCCCCACCAGAGACAATGAAGGCATGTGAAGTGTGTTTATTGTGGGGAGCTGTGATCTTTGATGTGTCACCACTCTGTCAGCATGAGCATCACAGAGGTTTTGGGACCTGGCAAAATGATCAGCCTCTTCATGATTCTCAGAAAAAGTGGGCAGGCGGGAGGCATCTGGCCCCGCTCTCACTGGTGCCCCTGCAGAACAGCCGTACAAACCTGCCTTGTCATGGGCGATTATTTCAGGGTTGGAGTGCTGGGTGCGTATCTCCCTCTCTGTCCCTCTCTGTCGCCTCCCTCCTGGTTCCTTGTATGCTAATCCCTCGGTCTGCTAACCCAAATTGCTAGTTAAGTAATCTGCTCAATATCCTTCCAAGGATCGACACAGAAGATGCCTTGTGTTAAACGCCCCCCAACCACAACAAAAAGCTGAACATGTACAAATCAGTAACACTCTTCCTCCCACCGTCTACTGTTTTTCTAGGCTCTCTGTGTCTTGTGAAGTGTCCTTTGATCCTGTTTTACAAAGGTGTGTGTGTGTGTGTGTGTGGATTATGTTTATATTACATTGTGTGGACCATATGACCACTATAATGTGATAGAAACCTGTTATTATGATGTGTGGATGTATTATGATGTTCATGGGGATCTGTGAATGCAATCAAAAAACTAAAAATGCAAAAAGACTCATATATTGTTTGGTTCAGTTATGGTTAAGGTTAGGATTGGGTAAGGGTTAAGATCGTCATGTTGCGATTAGAGTTTTCCGCATAAAAATGAATGAAGAGTCCCCACAAAGATTTAATTACAAACCAGTGTGTGTCTGTGTGTTTCCTGGCTTCACACTGCACAGGAGTGACAACTCAGCAGGAGTGAGTGATCGATATGTGACCCTGAGCGAGACCATCTGACTCCCGGTCCAGGACACTCCCTTGTTGGAATGTGGGTGTGTCCGCTGCACACCTCACATCTGAGTCAGCAGGGAATGGGCGTGGCCTGTGGGCGTGGCCTGTGGACATGGCCTGCTCTGTACTGTACTGTGTCTGTGTGCTTGACAGCAGCAGATGCCTGAAGAAGCAATAAAATTCAGCAGCTCAGCAGCATTGGGTCGAGTGTAAAGCTCAGCTTGTAGTCGGTCCGGAAGATCACTACACACTGGTTTAAAGCCTTACAGGGATTGCTTAATGAGAGGTGACTGTGCGATATTATGTAGTTACAGTACTGATTTATATAAGTCTTGGGCAGTCAAAGAAAATATTAAAAACTATTTATCTGGGTAGTGAATGTATATTAGATGAGGAAAAAAACACAGTTTAATGTTTGAACATAAGAACATAAGAAATTTACAAACGAGAGGAGGCCATTCGGCCCATCAAGCTCGTTTGGGGAGAACTTAACTAATAGCTCAGAGTTGTTAAAATCTTGTCTAGCTCTGATTTAAAGGAACCCAGGGTTTTATCTTCCGCTACACTAGCAGGAAGACTATTCCATACTCTAACTGCACATTGTGTAAAGAAGTGCTTTCTCAAATTCATTTTAAAATGTTAAACATGTGCAACATCTATACAAACAAAATAAAAACTAACAGGAATTTCTTCTGTTCTCCAAAAAGTCATTGATATCTTCTTGGACGGCTAGATGTACATCGCTTTGGTTCCCAAACTTCTCCTCAGGGGCACCTCAGCCACCCCATGTGTTCGTTGAATTTCACCACCATCTCAATTAAGTAATTAACTTTAATTAAGCAACTATTGACATATTGATTAGCCAGACAAGGCTGAGTGAAACACTTGTTGGATGGTAATTGGAAATACTGGGGCGAGGATTTGAAGTGGCTAAGCTGACACTTTGACTGACATGAAATCATAGTTTTACAATCTAAAGATCATTTAAACTTCATTCCTTTGCCTGAGACTCCTGCATAGTACTGTATTCAATTCAATTCAATTCAATTCAGTTCAATTCAATTCAATTGAATTCATTTTGTATAGCATGCTCTAACAACATTACATTGTCTCAAAGTGCTTTACAGCATCCCCGGCCAAAGCCCCCAATGGCTGTATGTGTTTGTGTGTGCAGGGAATGTTTTTCTTTTTACATCCTCTAGGGCGGGGTGGGGGACCTGATCCACAGAGGGCCGGTGTGGGCGGGTTTTTGAGATGACAGTCAGTCTATAAAGCAGCAGGCTCAGCTCCAGTCCTGCGGCCCACTTTTTTTTTTTTTTTACCCCTGTCGTGTCCGGCGGTTTAGCAGCAGGATGTTAGTCTGGGTGCTTTTTTGTGCCAACACTTTTATTTTGCCAAGTGGAGCTTCGGATTAAGTTCCTCTTGTTACTTGAGGTATATACTCTTTATTAACCATTTTAGATTATTGCGCCACAAAGCCGGAGCTGACAGGGGAAGTTCACTGGGGGCCCACTTTTAATGGCTGATTGAGAGGTCATCCAGAAAGCTGCCCCCACACTGGCCCTCCATGGATCAGGTTCCCCACCCCTGCCCTAGGGTCAGTAGCTCTGCATGTTTCCCAGTGCATGTGTGCATTAGGGAGTGCCGGGGAAATCAGGCTGACATGGAAGACGCTGCAGATTCGCATCACTTCACTCTAATGAGGGAATTGACTGGCCGTGTTCAAAGTCCCCCATTTATAAAGAAAGCATCACCATAAACCTGCATATCTACAGCTCTGGAATTTATCAAACGCCGATGTCCCTCTTCCCAGTGTGTGAAGTTCTGCCGGGGAGAACTGAACGCTCCTCTCACTTAATGCAGGAAACGGGGAGAAAAAACTATGCTTTGGATACCCTTGTCCTTGTTTGCTAATGTGTTTACCTGGTCAATTTCCTGCCATGTAATTCCTGATAGCCACTCGGGTGGGGGGGGGTTGCGCATCATCATGTCCTGCTCTTTGGAATATCGCTGAATTCTCTCTCATGCTTAAGACGTTGTGGCTTGCAGTCTCATGGTCCCTTACGTCCCCTGCCCTCTCCTGTTCTCCCTGCCCTATATCCTGCCCTCTCCTGTGTTCTCCCTGCCCTCTCTTACTCTCTCCCTGCCCTCTCCTGTTCTCCCTGCCCTCCCTTATTCTCTCCCTGCCCTCTCCTGTTCTCCCTGCCCTCTCTTACTCTCTCCCTGCCCTCTCACTTGCCCTCTCTCCTGCCCTCTCCTGTTCTCCCTGCCCTCTCTCCTGCCCTCTCCTGTTATCCCTGCCCTCCCTTACTCTCTCCCTGCCCTCTCCTTCCCTCTCCTGTTCTCCCTGCTCTCCCTACCCTCTCCTGTTCTCCCTGCCCTCCCTTACTCTCTCCTACCCTCTCCTGTTCTCCCTGCCCTCTCTAACTCTCTCCCTGCCCTCTCTTCTTCCCTCTCCTGTTCTCCCTGCTTACAGTGTGTGGCTGTGACCTGGCCCGCTCCGGATTCTTCCAGAAGAACGGCGAGTACATCTGCACGGCTGACTATCAGCGCCTGTATGGCACCAAGTGTGATAGCTGTGGGGACTTCATCACGGGCGAGGTGGTGTCGGCCCTGGGGCGGACCTACCACCCACGGTGCTTCGTCTGCAGCATGTGCAGGTGAGCGCCACCCATCACATCGCCTCCTGCTGACCGGGAGGCCTGTGCATTATAACCTGTGCTCCACATCGTTCATGGTTCGTCGCCAGCAATATGAATTGTAGTTGTGGCTGGATGTCATGTGACCTTCTCGTTCAGTTTGAGCCTGTGACCATGTGATCTGTCAGCTGGGGGGTGCACATTCGATGTGAACCAGGTTAGGTGGGTGACACGGAAAGTGGGACACGTGCACAGAACCACAATTCAGCAGCAGAGCAGACAGGATCGTTATATTTCATGGTAGAGAGAGATATTGGCTCTGAAGCTTTGACAGGGATATTTTTCTACTGAGATAAATATGAATTCCCTTTTTTATTTATCTGTTTGTGTAGCCAAATGGAAAGGATGATATTTACAACACATTCTAAAAAGACAGACTCTAGGTGCATCAAGAATCATTTAGGTCGCGGGTGTATTATTTTGATTAAGCTGGTGGGGTGGGGTGTACAAAGAAGCTCAGAGAACCGTCAGCTTCAGCTGCGTGTGCTTCTGTCAGGCACGGTCGTCGCATTAAACCTGCACATCGCATTGTACCAGTAAATCAGGAATGTCAGAAAGCTTTGTGTTTCTGCTGCACCGTTCTGGGTCTCTCTGTTCTGTACCCTTTCTGCCCCACGAAGGTGAGCCTCCATTTTCAGGGTTCATGTTCTCCTGACAAACTGGCTTAGGAAGGGAGGGGGCAGCGTGTGGCTTTGCAGGTCAGGGATCTGTGTCTGTAGGGTCCACATCCCATGGCTGGCAGAGCAGTGATATCACCATTGAGCCCTTAAGCCAAAAGCAGCTCCAGAGATGCGGGATTAATGGCTGCCCCTGTGTGCTCTGCCCAGGCTTCGCTCTCACCTGCACATGTGTGTCTCACAAAGAGCATGATGGGATATGCAGCGATCAAGATATTCATATGTAACTGAAATTAAACCAGTGATCGTAAACAATGTATCCTATTCCAGCTCATACCCATAGCACCTGCTCCTGTTTTCTGACTCCACCCCCCACCCCCACATCCCCGGGAGGAAGGGAATGCCACGGAACTCCCAAAGGTGCAGTCACATGATTTCATTCACAACCAGGCACCAGCTGTGAGTCTATTCGAGGTGTAGTAGGGGGGCAGATATTCTATTGCTTTCGGCTTCTAGATGCGGTACAGGGCTGGGGGGGTCTCAGTAAAGGGGCAGCAGTATAAAGGTGCGTAGGTGTGCCAGAGGATGGTGATTTTGGGGGGGGGGACACACCACAGAGTCTTGGAGTCATGTGAGGCCTGGGCTCACCTTCACCAGCAGGCAGCAAGGATAGGAATCCTGCACAGCACACAGCCCCCCCCCCCCCCCCCCCCCCCACACGAAACATTGGTGGAATCCCAGTCTGACCCATCAGCCACGTGAGATCCCCACAGTCCAATGATAGGGGGGTGCCATGTTGGGGGTATGAGTAGGTGTGGAATTAGAGCAGGCTCCATGGAACTGTTTTGTGGGCTGCCCCCTTTTCTGTGCCTCTGGGTTGAGATGACGTCAGATTCAGGTGTGCCTCACCTCTGGCCTTCGTCAGCCTTCCTCTATGCCTCGAAATAGTCTCAGTCTCTTCAAGGTAGTATTTGTTTTCAGATCCTGTAGAATATTAGTTTGTCTAAGTGGCCGGTGCATGTCTGCTATCAGTCTGTCCGAGGCAGTCAGCGTGCCCAGACCCTGTCTGCTATCAGTCTGTCCGAGGCAGTCAGCGTGCCCAGACCCTGTCTGCTATCAGTCTGTCCGAGGCAGTCAGCATGCCCAGACCCTGTCTGCTATCAGTCTGTCTGAGGCAGTCAGTGTGTTCAGACCCTGTCTGCTATCAGTCTGTCCGAGGCAGTCAGTGTGTTCAGACCCTGTCTGCTATCAGTCTGTCCGAGGCAGTCAGTGTGCCCAGGCCGTGTCTGCTATCAGTCTGTCCGAGGCAGTCAGTGTGCCCAGACCCTGCCAGCTCTCAGTCTGTCCGAGGCAGTCAGTGTGCCCAGGCCCTGCCAGCTCTCAGTCTGTCCGAGGCAGTCAGTGTGCCCAGACCCTGCCTGCTCTCAGTCTGTCCGAGGCAGTCAGTGTGCCCAGACCCTGCCTGCTCTCAGTCTGTCCGAGGCAGTCAGTGTGCCCAGGCCCTGCCTGCTCTCAGTCTGTCCGAGGCAGTCAGT